GGTGCACACATTACAGAACTTCAGGCAACTTCGTTATCCGAAAAGTCATGACTTATGTTAAGCTTTACCCTGGAGTTGCATACACTAGCTTAGTATTTTACTGTGACAGTAGCAATTCTGGGGACACAAAAACATAAGCCTGGTGGTGAAGCCTGGTTCCAGAACCCAAGGAAAGATCATTTCATATGGATGGAGCAAGGGGGCCAGCAAAGACTTGGATACTCTGTGGAGAGAGGCGTTAACTCTGTGAGAGGGGAAATAGCTTTGCATGTTGGGAAATCAGTCCACAGGATTTGGGACTTAAGCTGTGTAGTACTGATACAACCAATTTGACAAGTTAGATCTTCAGTCATATAAGCTGCACCCTGCCATGGTCTCTGGTCACCAAAAACTGTTACCTAGGTTAAGCAGTTCAGCAGATGGTTTAGGACAGCTTTAAAAATTCTGATGATCCAGGAGGCGGGAGTAGGGTCTGGCCAAATGAGATTATCTCCAAGGTGACTTTTGACTGGATAGCCCACCCTATGCCTATCTCGGGGCTGCTTAGATGAGATCTGGTCCATGTAGTTACTATTAAGTCAGATGCATATACATTATTACTATTATTTTTAAATGTCAATCTGAAATCACAATGTATTCATATTTTCCATCCTAATACTTCTGCTGGTGGATGTTGATGGTTTTCTTGCGATAGCCTCTAACAAACCCCTCATCTCATTATGAGTGCATTTCCCTACATTGTTATGGGATTCTAAGTCATCTAGGTATACCCTATCCCTCCTAGAAATTTGTTGCTTTAGTTTTCAATCAGCCTGCATACAGTGTTTCAAGTGGTAATTACACTAGCTCAACTGAACTTCTCATACATTGGGCTAACAGTGTTTTCCAATATCAATAATAGGTTATATTCTTGTGCGTTCCAATCCATCTTTGCCTTCAGCTTTTAAGGAAATTATGTTTTAGCTTTTCTTTCATCAATAGATGGTGCCAGTAGCTTAACTCCTGTCCAGCCATTCTTATCTTATCTAATCATTATATCTTATCTTGTTCATTTGCGCTTCAACAGCTGAGGATGATGGTTCGGTAAAACCATCAAAACTAGTCCTGTGAAAATGTGTAAATACAATGCTGATTTTTGTTGTTTGACTTCTAAATCAACAGGTCATACCTACTTAAATCCCATCATGATTTTTCAAAACTTCTAGCATACTTTACTATTAACTCACAAATTCTGTGGGAGTAATCTTGCGAACTGAGTAAATTACAGCAATAATTCAAAGAAAGCAAAACTATAAAGAGTTAATAACAAACATTTTTCACTCACTCCAGTTCTATCAGTACTTCTTTAGAATCACAAAAAGTCAAGCCTGCTAGATTTAGATTTCATATTTTTCATATCAGGTCTATTACAATTTCATGTTGCTGGCCACAAGAGGGTGCAGCTTTCTCATTTTTATATTCCAAGCCATGCCGTATTTCTGTTTTGTACTCTTTTTTGTCTGTTGTGGCAGATTCAATTTCGGTGTTCAATATTAATATATCTTTTTCATTTTAATTTAAGATGAATAAGTCATCTAATTAATCAAATTTAATATTATCTGATTCTATTTCAAGTTTAGTGATCAGTCTTGTAACTCATGCTCTTAGCATTCCTCGCTTCTTTTTTAGTGCTTTTAAATTAGCCATCTTAATAATCAATATTCAGACACTAATCAAACAATAATATATATTTACATCATAATATATCTAAGGATCACTGTTATTTCAGGACTTCAGCAGTAAGTTGCAGAATTATTGTCCTGCCGTAATTTTCAGCAACTCGTGGTAAGCCTTTTATTGACATTAAAAGCTGTGTCTTTTGATAAACGTTTGATGTAATTAAATTTGTCTACATCTTTCAAAGCAGAGTTATTATGTATAACAGATTCATATTGAACACAAAAACCTTGAAATTCACATATATTGCCTGTAAATTTATTTATGGTTAGTTTCAGAATTTTAACACCATTTGTATTTGTGTTTTTTACCGTATCCATAGTAGAAGAATTGTAGATGGCATCTCAATTAATTTAATACCTTTTCTATTTCTAAATTCTACTAGTCTGATTTTCACAAGGTAATTTTATTTTTATATGATCAACCAGTGCAGTATGGTTCTACAAACTGAATATTAATTAAGGGTTTTAATTATTAAAAAAATAAACAAAGAAATAAAGATGCACCCTCTCATGGCCAGCAATAAGAAACTGTAACAAGGTCCGTGGACTGAAAAGGGGTGTTGCACAACTTGCACATATGTACTGTATCACCTGATGTTTAGATGTTTTTCTCTGTTAAAAATTTGTTTAGAAATCTGGCACAAAATTTACAGAATAACAAAAGAATTAACAAAAGATTCCCCAGAAAAATTCATACTTGTGGAAAATTAAGAATTCTAAATGAAAAGATAAGAATTTGCCAAGAATCTGAAAAAAATATTATGACTTAAAATTTATTGATACATAATCCATAAATATAAGTTTATATAAAAATTTCTCCTGTCTTAAACTCATCTGCTTAAAGAGAACAGAAAACTAGGTATTTAAACTATACATCTTTGACCATTATGAACAAAAAAACTAAGGAAATCAAGGATCTACATACATAATAAAGACTTACTAACAGTTTAGCATACTAAGAGACAAAAAACAACTGTCAAATATCAGTGCCGTTAAAGCACGGTCTAAGTAAGCTGAATTGCCTTAAGATAACTACAGAAACTGTAAACAAATTTAGTGGATGTCACAAGCTTATTATTTTTTACTTCCTTGTACGAAGTAAAAAGGAAGTATTGTAATCGCGAAAAGTTTCAGTCAGCATATTTCAACAAAAATATCCATTTTGACCACTTTTGAATGCAATTTAACGATGTTTTCGTGTGATATCTGTACGTAAGGACAGAATAAAAGTCTCTTTTCCTCCAAAAAAAAATTATAAAACTGCTTTAAAATGAATTCTGAAGAGAATTTTTCATGGCGTCTGTACGAACGTTGTATGTACATCGTATCTCGCAAACTTAAAAAACAAGTAGCCTCAGAATGTTGAAATTTTGTATATATGACACTACAACATGTAGATGCACCTCGTATTTTGTTGGCAATTGGGCCACGCCAAACGTATATAAATATATATATTATATATATCCATTCTGTTACGCGCTCAGTGATCTCAGTTTCTTTACTCTTATATGTTTTTTAAATTGTACATTTGTTTGCTTTAAAAATGATTGAATTAGGTTGTTCTTATCTTCAGTTAAGGTTTTTTGCCTTTAGTAATCTGTTGCAATATTTTTAGAATTATCAACAATTTTTAAAGTTGTTTTTAAGTGCCGCTAAGCCTAATAATATTTTTTGATGGCGGCCCATTGCTTGTTTTACATTTGAAAACAGCAGATAGTGGATTGTTTGCCAATCTAGAGAAACGTCTTCGCAACAACAAAAAAACGCCTTCATTTATTATTGCAAAAATCATGCTTAATCCTTTCTGAAATTTTTTCGTGGAAATAAGTGTTTTAAGATTTACTTCGTAATTTTTAATAGAGATATTTTGAGTTTTATGTATTTTCCTTGTCGCGAAGTGAGAGCTGAATTGAATGAGACATATTTCAATGGTCTGTGAAAAACTTTTCTTTTTTGTTTTTGTTTGCTTAATTTTCTTTATATATCGTTCTTTTATTATAGTGTTTGAATGAACATGTGGCAACGATTAATAATCCTTTAAATGATATAATTTTTTGTGCATTCTGAGTTATACATGAACGAATATAATACTGTTAAGTGAACATAGCACCAGAGTGTCGTATGGTAACAAATACAGTGAATTTTAAGATGCATTTATTCTTTGTGGTTTTATGCGCTGTCGGCAAAGTAGATTGAATTCAATCCAATAAGTTTAAACGAAACGCAAGAAAAAAATGCGTATAATTTAATATTCCGTACAAGGAAGTCATGTGGTGTACACATCAGATTTTTTTTAATTAACACTTGTAAAAGTAATACAGCATACCCAAAGCTGCCAACCTTGAAATATGAAAAACTGGGAGTTTTTAGAATGTTTTTATGCTCTGTGATTAAAAAAAATTACTTGAATAACTTTACAATGTACGATTCATGTTGTTGAACTATTTATCATACAATTCTGATGTAAAATATACTACTATTTAATTAGATATTCTAGATTTTACATGTTTGACTAATTTCATTCTACAGTTTTTCTTACATTTTTATTCTCAAGAAATCCTGCATAGAGAAAAAAAGCTTTTATTTACCGAAGTATTTTAAAATTCAGTGCAAAAAAATTAATTAATATGCATAGTACTGTGTAGAGTTGTTATAAACTGGTATTGTTTTGTGCATGTTAAAGTAAAAAATAATCTTGTCATTATTATTACATGGCATCTGGCAAGAGTATAAAACTGGGATGCATGATTATGTCATTACGAATGGTGATAACAATTTTAATATTAAAATGAGTTGGATCTATACTTGCAAATGAGTCAATTTAGTCTATGTTTCAAGAAGCAGATAAGTTTTTCTTCCTTCATAAACAAGAGTAATGAACCATTTATTAATTATAAAACAAAATAAAATACAAATATTAACATATACATTAGTTGAATCTTCATAAAATGTCTCTCACATATCTACACCAGATTACCATAATTCAGATCAAATACATTTTAATGAGAAAATTCATGTTGAAAATCAGTCAGAAGGTGGAAATGGAATTTTTGCAACATAAGTTTCAGTAATTTCATTAAATTCCATTTCTTGCTGGGAAACACATTCTCTACCAAAAGCTAAAAATTAAAAAACAGGAGATGCTGTGATTGACTAAGACACTGGAAGATGTAATGGAAAACATCCAATTTTCCAATAAAACAGGGAAATTTGGCAACTATGATACATTATTTCAAATGACACAAAATAGCTTGATATTAAAGCAAACACAAAACAGTTTCATTTTTTTTTTATTATTATTTATTTCAGAAAAGCATTACTAGTTTTGTTGGAGCACAACTCTGACAAGTATTATTATAATATTTTCCTCAGTTACCTTTCATGTGTTACTTTACCTTATTAATACCATCTTCAAATGCTGCTTTTGCCAGGTTTCCAGGACCTTCAACTGTTTTTCCATCATCTTCTGGGCCCCACGATGCACTATAAATATGGATATGATTTGGTTTAAGGCTTAAAGCAGTTGCCTCTATATGATCTGTAACTGAGCCATCAAGCATTCTTACACCTGAAATTAAATTTAATAAGTCATAAATTTTAAATTAAGCAGTAGTCTATGTTAAATTAAAAAAAAAAATAAGAAGAAGAATTAGAACTGGAAACAAGAAAAGAAATGTTAACTTAAAATAGCATAAAATACTTCTTCCTAAAACTGTAGACTTAAAGCAACAAGCGAAACAGGGAAAAAAAAAAAAAAAAAAAAAATTGGATTTCAATTAATATTTTAAATTAAACAGTAAAGTCGATGTTAAGTTTTTTTAAAAAATTATAACCAGAAAAAAAAGTGTTAAATTAAAATTGCATAAAATACTTCTGCCTAAAACTGTAAAAGTAAAGCAACAAATGAAACAGAAAAAAAAAAAATTAGTTTCAATTTTTTAATATCTTCAGTACACTCATTTTATACCTGTCCATAAACTGTCTACTTTGTATATTTGGATCAAACTGTCTAATGGCAACTTTCACAACATTAATTTTAATGAATTTTATAAATCAAATTGAATTTATGATATTATTAATGCCATGATTATCATATAAGAACACAATGTGTCCAGCTCAATTAATTTGTAAAGTCAAGACAGAACAAACACAACAAACTGAAACATAAAATTGGCAAACCAACAACCTTGTGTTTGATGTAGATTTAGTCGAGAACTTAATCAACTTTGAGGACAAACAGGTACAGGTCATCAGGAGCAAAGGAATTTGGAAAACTAAGGTAGCAGGCGCAATGGTCGCATTTATACCCTATGGCAGTAAAGAGAATGAGTAGGTAGTGCCATATGTTGGCAAAAATAGTAACAAAATTGAAAAATTAAGTTAATGCAATTTTAAAAGAGTTAGGAAGGACCAAATTGGACTTAAAGACATTAACTAAACAAGATAAATCTTTGTAAATAGGAAAAGCTTCAAGAAAATCCAGTTCACCAACTGAAGAAACTTTTTGAATAATTTTTACAAACCCAAAGGCAAAATTATGATTAAATTTCCAACCACGATTAGCTATCGAAGACTTGTTAATTTTGTCTTTTTGGTCATAAGATCCGTGCTCCTTGGTACAAAACGTTAATGCTCTTTTAGTTTGGCCATTATATCTCAAACCATACTAACACAATATGCTATAAATTCCCCTTATCTTTCAGAATCAAGCCATTTAAGCCATTTAGGAATCTTTAAGAATCGAGCCATGGATTTTATTGATAGGCAAGAAAATTACTTGAAAATTGAATTGCTGGAGAATCCGTGCAATTGTATGACTGATAGAAGGATGAAGTGGAAGTATGACAAGGTTATTAATGTTATTTCTAATAGTGGAGTGTTTTCTTTGATAGTAAGCTGAAAATCTTTTAGACTTTATCAGTGACCATAGGAGAAAATCCTGGGTTAATGGCAACTGAATTTATATAATTTACTTCATCAGCAAGGAAAGGTTTTGAGCAACAAACTTTGAGAGCGCAAAATAAATAATAAAAAGAATCGAGAAACTTATTTCAGAAGCTTTTTGTCTCTAGATTCACTATGACCCTTTTTGATAATAATGAAGATTTATTTCCGATTTTACCTATTATAAATTTGATTGATTTAGCCATCCGTTTTACTTTTGAAATGAATCTGACAATAACCTTTCCTTCATTAATATTCTTATATTTCAAAAAGAATCTGGTTTCAGCACTACTGTTTATCGTAAACCCTTTTCTGTTTTGTTTACCGCCCCATGCTAAGTCAAGTCACCCAGCTAAGCAAAAAAAAAAAAAAAAAAACTTCTTTTTACTATTATGTACTTCACACTCTCAAACTTTGTTGGCTAACGAACTCAATTATATGAGATCAGTTAGTTACCATTGACTGATGGTTTTCTCTCATAGTCATTCATAAAGACCCCCCCCCCAAAAAAAAAAAGTTTGCTTACCATCAGAGACGTTTCACTACTAGAAATAACATTAATAAACTTGTGCTTCAATTTTCCTTAAAACAGTGATTCCCAAACTCTTTTGCCCCATGCAAACCCTTTCACCTTTTCTAATGGTCATTTCTTCGTCATTTCCAAAATTCAAAAAATATATGTATATTTATTTTAATTTACATTATTTTTAATATGTTTTATACATTAAACAAGAATAGAAAATGCTAATAAATAGAATAAAAGTAGTTATTCATAAATTAAAAAATACTTAAAAAGGTAAAAAAAGTCTGACCACATTCCTCCTCGAAACTATAAATCCTCCCCTCAGATGAAAAACCCTGCCTTAAAATGTCCCCTGTGAAAACATCCCTCCCCTTAGGCAGATAGCACTCATATATTTACCATATTCCAATAACCCAACCTAACCTAAAATCAGTAATGTGGAACAAAGCATTTTCTGAAGGAACTTAAAATTACTCGTTATTTAAATTAAAATTTGATAAATAACTATTTAAGCAATAATTTTGACATTCAGCAATATAATGACATAAAATTTGATAATTCTTCACAATTTTCCTCAGAGGCTGTATATAAAAGAAGTTAAACTGTAATAAAATTCTGCATGAATTGTAACTTACGAACCTTCAGAACATAAAACTGAGACTTAGAAAAAATCTAGAGCGAAATCCTGAATTTTCAGGGCTTGTATATATTTTATAGCACTGCCCCTATATTTTTTTTCCCCCATGTAGCTGCCATTTCTTGATTTTTGTTTTCAAATCTAATTCTGAATACATCTGATGTGTGTGTATAAGAATGGTCACTTGACTAGACTGACAGCTAGGTAAGTCTAACGTCAAAATGCTCTAAACCTAAAAATTTTAGAAATAAAATTTGTTTTTAGGTACTTCAATGATGCCACCCAGTTGAACAGAATTATGTACAATACACATAAAAAGCTATTGAAAGTGATTTAAATTCAATATCGCTTTTAGTAAGTAAAACACTGCATGTGTAAACTGCATCATGCTGTAACTGAACTAACATAATCTTACAAGGAATTGTAACTCAAAATGAAAAGTAATAGGTTGAAACATGAAACACTATGATTCGGATGAAAAATTTTTTTAGTTATTATACTTTATACTTCAGATAAACTGTGAAAAGGATGTGCTTTCTGCTATGATACCAAGTTCTCCCCCCCTCCCCTTGCACACTTTCAATTATCAGGCCTGGTAAAGTCCCCTTTTTAATTTTTTGTAAATATAGGTTGTAATGTATCATCATGAAGAAATGCCGTTAAACAATTTTATTACTTGGTACACCTCACAGCCCTTGTTTCGATTTTTAGACCCTTGGGCCTGTTAGCCCTTTCACACTTATCAAATAAATAAGGTAGAAATACAGTACAAATTCCAAGATCTGGACTCGTCGGGACATCGGAGATTCCAGATTTAGAATTTTGCTGGATATTAGATCAACTGTTTAAATCTAGTAACATAGCATGTAGAAATTATAAAATTAAATATATGAAACCATGATTTAGGAAATAATGAAGTATTCATGATCTAAAGGTTATCAAAATTTACAAAAAAAACACCTTAATATTTGTTTACTTTATTAAACACTTCTTTCAATGTAAGTTGTTTAAGTTGCTTTGTATTTTGTGCTAATATTTTCTCTTTAATTCTACAGACAGACATAATTTCTTTTTCAGTCACAAAGTTCCATTGTTCAAGTCCTGTGAGTGCTGCGTCAGGAATTCTGACTATTTTGTCAATCAAAATTTTTTCATTTCCAATAACTTCTCTGTGACTTTTTTCACTATCGGCAGTAGAATTTTCTGGATCTACAAACATACTGCAGATTTTGCCGTCCTCTAATTGATTGATGATTGGGGCATTGTCATGAAAAACTTCTGTTCTATTATCTTCATTTATTACAGCTTCTCCATATTTCTTTACAAAATCCATTAATTGGAAATTTTCACCTTTTAAATATTCAAAATTCATGGCTATCACCTTCATCATCCTCACCATGAAATATGTTAGCTGGCCATAAATTATGCCAAGCATTTTTCACAGCATCTGGAGACACATCCTCCCATGATCTTGCAATGTTCCATGCAGCAGATTTTATGCTAAGATATTTAAAAAATTATTGTATAGTCTTGCCATTATTCAAGAAATTTAACAAATGCTACTTTTCAAAAACTTTTTTCAAAATGCTACTTTATTTGCATAGCATTCTTATATCCATAGGTTGAATGATGGATGTACAATTTGGAGGCAAAGAATAATATGGATACATTATCTTTCATTAAAATCTTATGAAGTATAAGCTGAACAGTTGTCTACTATCACGACAAATTTTGCCTTATCAGGTAAAGGTAAATCAACCAAATTCAAATGTTGCCAATCCTCAGGTATGAAATGACTTTCAAACCAATCATTCATTAATGCTTGCGTCATCCATGCTCTCTTATTTGCACAATCTATCATGGGAAACCATTACTCCTTTAATTGTTCGAGGTAGTGTTTTTTTTTTTTTTTTTTTTTTTTTTTTTTTTTAATTACAAAAAGTTTACACTTGTGCATTCCTGCAGCATTTGCACATGCTAAAATTGTTAATCTCGCTTTGAAATCTTTGATATCAATTGGAGCCTTTACTGTGGGGGTTTCTAAGATATATCTTGGTACATACTGCCAGAAAAGAGCAGTTTCATCAGTACTGTAAATTTGTTCTGGAGATAACTTTTCACTATTAATGAGGTCAATGATTTAACCTGCAAATAGTTCAGAAACTTCAGTATCAGTTAACATTGCCTTACACCATGGTGATTTTTAAATTTGGATAATCATACTGTCAAATATGTGTACTCAGTTTTTAAATTAATTTCTTTATGAAATATTTTGGCTCAAGCCATTAGCACTGGACCCGTCAATGGTAAACTATTACTGCGACACTGTCTGACCCAATCAATCATCACTTTGTCTTGAGAGTGGGATATCAGAATCCACCAAAAATTCAAAAAGTTCCTTATCTGTTTCTTTTTGTTAATGTCATATACTTTCGTATGCCATACTCTTCGTATAATTTTGAGGTGGATATACATTTATCCATTTTTTGCAGCAATTCCAATTTTTGTTTTCTGGACATCGAAACATGCTTTCACTTTGTAGATCCTGTTGCAGCTCCAGAATTAGAAACTTTTTTTTAATATAATCAAAAGTTCAAACTTTAATTTTCGTAAAATTGCTGTAATGATAACAGCCTGCAAAAAATAATAAGCTAGATCAATTCAGAAATTTAAGGAACAGAACAATCTGGTATATTAGCTGAAATTCCTTGGAATCAGTAAAGTATAATTTTAGCCTAGCTTAATAAAGTATGCCATACATTACTGGCAATGTATCATGAGAATGGCAAAGAAAGACAAGTTGTACTGCTAAATTTTGTCTTGCTTCTATTGCACACTGAGACAATTAACCCTGAATTGTATTACTTTAGTTATTTATTTTACTTTCGACTATTTATTGAACATGTTTAAGGCTTAGACTCCTAAATAAATACATTCCCACATATATACTTAAGGGTTATCGAGTTCCGGCGCTAAATATCTTACCGCCTGATGCAGTCTCTGCAGGTCCTAGATTCTGCTACCAAGTGCATCCCTAAGTTCTAAATTTTTGCCCCAATTGGTCCCAGTGCTTTTCTTAAATTTTAAAATTTTGTCATAACTTAATTTTGTTGCTAAGTGCTTCTCTAAATTGCAAAAAAAAAAAAAAAATGTTGTCTTCCCTAAATCACCCATGCGGCCATACGAGCTTTGGTACTGGGTCTGGGTTTAAGTGAATAACAAATCAGTTATTCATTAATTCAAATAACACTAAATGTAATCTTTTAGCCTATGAGTATCATTAGCAAAATCTATTCTTAGCATATATGCAAAGAAATTTTTGTTCAATATTTCCTCATCAACATTTCTTTGTGCATTTAACTTAAATCTGTAATCATCACCAAGCGTAGTGTCAATATACAAGGTTACTATACTCTTTAATACTCAAAAAAAAAATTGTTTAGGCATCATTGCATGAGTCATTACTCAAGCTGTCATGTGTTGATATACATGCAGTGATGAAAGCAATATATAATAAATAATGATTCTCCAGGTTGGCATCAGGGCTATAAAATATTAGGTGTAAAATCAATAATGTTTCTATGCAGAATGTTTCAGTTTGAGATGCATGCCAAGCAGATATGCAGCTATAGAGCCAAATTACTAATCACACAAATTTATGCTAAAATGTTTGTTTCTTCAATAATGAGGTATTTTATTTAGTGCTGAAGTGAAATTAAGAATCAGGACTCTCCACATGTTAATCATGGGAGAAAAAAATCAAATGTGCATGCGTAAAGCATACAAAAAATATTCCTAAAAAAAGGTTGTTTGTGACTTTGAGGTCTGGGTTTTAGATCATTCTAGATATTGGACATTTAGATCCTGGACTTGGCACTGTAATCATATATTTCAAACCATAATTCAGTATTAGAACTTTTTGCTTTTCAAATGTTAATACTTTTGTAATGCAGCTACACTATAACTGCAATTTTAGTAAAATAATTTGACCAGTAAAGTTTAATATTTCTTCTCTAAAAGCATGGTGAAGAATGATTTTACAGCATTGACTACTAGCATTTTAGAGAGTTCCTAATGTACCTAATGTCATTTCGTTATGGCAAGAAAGCACCATGTAGCAATCAAAATTTGAACTGTTCTTTTTTATTGCAGTTTTCTTTTCCCTACAGTTCATATAGCATATATACAACATTTCAAAGAATTATATCAACCAGAATGGGCCCGACAAAGATCTGAATAGGAAAATTTTAACTGTAACCACCCTCACTTCTCATAATTAAGAAACTGAAAATTGTTAGAATAGCTTATAATTGAAAGATTTAAAGCATTTTTCACATCCTAATGCTTGATTAATAAAAAAATGGCAATAAACATACGAAAAGTATGTATGTAAATTTCGTTATGTAGTAACACAAATTAGAATAAAATTTAGTGTCTGAGTGTATTAAGGAACATAAAACATGCAAAATCTTCAAGTGAACTCATTAGTTTTTTGAAGATTCAGTGATCTAGGATAAAGTTAGTACGTATTGATAACAATAATATGTATCTTTTCATACAACTTTTGCAAAAGTACAAGAAAACTTTGACTAAAAATAAAAATAGCAGTAACATTAAGTAATAATTACGTAAAAGAAGCCCACAAATGAGTATGTTCATATATTTGAATGTGTTCTTACATATATTGTTCGATACTTTTGTTCTGAAATAAGTCATCTATAGGCTAACAGTATGCAGAAATTCCTGAAAGTCATAAAACAGGGCTTCAGTGCTGAATAGTGCTATTTTTTACATTTTAATAGCACACTTGCAACAGTTTATTTCTTATTTTAAGAGAAGTGAAAAATTCTATTTATTACTATTATTTTCCAAAGCAGTGAACACTCAAGTTCGAAAGACCTACCTTATAATACATACTAAAATAAATTTCTTAAAATTATAAACATTTAAAAACTTAAGTACCTCCTATACTAGCATTGTATGCTATACCAACACCACAAAATTCGTTATGGGCTACAGCTGCCACTTCACCAGCACAACGAGTGCCATGTCTGAAAATAAATAACAGATGGTATTCTATTAATTACTGACATTGATTAAATGCTAAATGCTAAAAAAATCTTTTACAGGCTAGTAAACACACACTATTATACACTGAAGTGACATGAATATATTATACACTGAAGTGACTGAAGTGACACACTATTATACACTGAAGTCATGAGATAGCAATATGCAAATATACAGATGGCAGTAGTATCGCATAGAAATTGTATAAATGTGAAGTGCTTTGGCAGGGCTTTCATTTGTGTTCAAGTTATTCATGTGAAGAGGCTTTGACGTGATTATGGCCGCACGACGAGAATTAACAGACTTTGAACGCAGAATGGTAGTTGGAGCTAGACGCATGGGTCATTACATTTCGGATATCGTTAGGGAATTCAACATTCCGAGATCCACAGTGTCAAGAGTGTGTCGAGAGTATCTAATTTCAGGCATAACATCCCACCATGGACAGCGCAGTGGCCGACCACCTGCACTTAACGACCGAGACCAGCGACATCTGCATAGAGTTGTCAATGTTCACAGACAAGCAACACTGCGTCAAATAACTGCAGAAATCAATGTGGGACATATGAGGGACGTGTCCTATAGGACAGTGCAGCGAAATTTATCTTCTTTGGGCTATGCCAGCAGAAGACCCGACTCATAGCCCTTACTGACAGCATGACATCGCTTGCAGCGACTCTTGTGGGCTCGTGAGCATATCAGTTGGTCCCTAAACGAATGGAAAACCATGACTTGGTCAGATGAGTCACGATTTCAATTGGTAAGAGCTGAAGGGTTCGAGTGTGGCACAGATCCCACAAAGCCATGGACCTAAGTTGTCAACAAGGCACTGTTCAGGCTGGTGGTGGTACCATAATGTTCAGGGCTGTTTTTACATGGCATGTACTCGGTCCTCTGGTGCAACTGAACTGATTATTGACTGGAAATGGATCCCTTCTGCTACTTGGAGATCACTTACAGCCATTCATGGACTTCACGTACTCAAACAACGAAGGGATTTTTATGGATGACAATGCGCCATGTCACCGGGCCACAATTGTTTGCGATTGGTTAGAAGAACATTCTGAACAATTCCAGAGAATGATCTGGCCACCTAGATCGCCTGACATGAATCCCATCGAACATTTATGGAACATCATCAAGAGGTCAGTTCGTGCCCCGGACCGTCAACACTTTCACAATTATGGACATCTATAGAGGCAGCATGGCTCAATATTCCTGCAGGGGACTTCCAATGACTTGTTGAGTCCATGCCACATCAAGTTGTTGCACTTCGCCGGGAAAAAGGCGGACCAACAAAATATTAGGAGGTATCCCATGACTTTTGTCACTTCAGTGTACAATTCAGCTAGAAAATTAAACACAATATCAATTTACATTATTCTTTAAAAATGACATTTTAAGAGCCTCAGAATAATTTGGCAAACAAGCATTAGCTTGAAAAGAGCCAAATAAAAATGCAAGGTGAAGGAATACAAAACATAAAAACATAGAAAATAAAAAAATACTGGAATTATGTTGGACAGTTTTATTTACCATCACAATGTTCAGCATCAGCAGAATTTCACACGAAAAATAAGTTATATTGCTATTAAACTTAACTGAGGTAAAAAATTACCTCAGAATTTAATTACATCAAAATATTTGCATAAATTTTCATAGAAAATAAAATTTTGCACACAATCTCAAAAGAAGTTCGGAAAAGGCTTGAATGGAAGTATTTTAGTAACTCTATAAAATATTAAGACAATCAATAAGTTTAAAAAAAATGAAATATTTTTATTCATTATAGCACTTTTAATGCAGAGCTAACACATGCATCTTTACCGTTTTCATGCATCATGCATAAAACCGAAACTTAAAATAATTTCATAAGTACTAAATCAAGGAAAGGGAGACTTTAAAAAAAGCAGAAATTCAAAAAGAGCATAGAGCAATAATGTAGTAAGTAAATTTAGGAAATATTTTAACACTTCACTAAATTAACTCTGTTATATTGCATATATCCAATAATGAAACAAATGGCATACCTACCCTACACTTTTACAACAGCCAAGCACCAATTTCATGACTACCATGAAACTTAAATTCCAACGTGTATCATTCTGAGCAACAGAATTTTTCTCACAATCTTCTAAATGTAGAACTTTACCTCATTAGTGTGTCAATTTTCTGCACACCTACTTCTTACTGATTGCAACTTTTAATATCCAAAAATATCGCCTAAATAAACTTTCCAGTCTCACAGCTTCATGATCATTCTAGTTATGATCAGTTAGTTATAACCAGATCATTCAAATGGTTTCAAACATCATTCACCATTTTGCTCTATGAGGCAAAATAAGAATGTTGTTTCTGACTCGCACAGTATATTTTAGAAATGAAGAGTTTAAGTATTTTAAAAATAAAGAACTTTTCTAAAAATACCTAGAAAATCAAAGCAAAATATTACACATGTAAAGGATTATTAAACTGTGATTTCTGATATATTTCATTGCAGAAAATGTTATTTTAATAATCTTCCCGAAAATAGGCAGTCATATAATGCAAAAACATGAAAACTTATCTTAATGCTATTTTAATCATTCTGTGGACTTTCATTAGAAAATTAGCCCAAGCTGAACGTTAGACATGCAAAAATTCTGGAAACACTCATTCTCACAAAAATCAAATACCATGCAGACAGACTGAGATTGAATATCAAGAGCCCAATTATTACTCGTACAAAATATAAGAAATGTAGAAATTATAGAAATATACGTATGAAATTAATAAAAATCTAAACTGAAATGGCAACATTCATCAAAATTTTAAAACTGTGAGAAGATGCATACTTGTTATCATCATCATCTTGCGGTGTAGGATCATCATCAGAATCATTAATATCCCAACTAGCATCTTTATCCTAAATAAAAATTATTTCCTAATTAGTAGTCATATAGCAAGTGACAAAAGGAAAATATTATACATCTTTTTGGAATTATTCAGTTTTCTAAATTAATGCATTTGGAACACAGTCATACTGCATGGATGCAACTTTCATAATTATCTCTTGCATCAATACTTGAAATGTAAACATAAATTTTTAACAAAATGATAAAAATATTATAATCTAAAACAACTTCTGAAATTTGTCATAAATCTAAATAAATCTATTACAGTAAAATGAGTTATTCTTTAAGAAATTTTGCATAGCAACAAAATAAAAGTCAACTTTCTGAGAAATACTATGGGGTACAGATTATTAATTCCACACAGTTTTACTATGCATAATCTGGCCTCCCTGATCAGTGTAATGAATTGCAATGCTGGTTGCCGCATCTTTTGTCCTGGTTTCAAATCTTGGAGAAGGGTTAGATATTTCTAAGTGTATACTGCCTGCGCAGCATAGGATCACTTAAAATACTGGGAAGCCAGAGTCCTCTGAAAAGGTTTCATGGTAAGTGGAGAGAGGTGGAACACTCTCATGGTTTTACAACAGGGTTTTATTCAGCAGAATTCGGATGGAACTCTCCTCCTCTCACAGGTTTAATTTAGTTGACCAATGTGGTGCACTTTGGAAACATTCTTGGTGACATGATGGCTAAATGACTAATGGGTATCAGTTACTCCCAATGAATGCATTAGGTTGATAATGTTCGACTATTTGAAACAACAACAACTGTGCATAATCTAAGAATTAAAATAAGTTTCACGCAGTGTCATTAAGTCATTTCAGAAGACGTCTAAATGTAATGGCATAAAAAGTTTATACATACTGTGTATTGTTGATTTCTAGGCCCAGGAGAAAAAGACAAAAACTTGATTTATACATGAAACAATCACTTTCAAAGTCTTTCAATCCCTTAGCTTGGCAAATCACTGACATAATAAAAAATAAATGAATTACTTCAACATCTGCTGAAATTTCTCAGATCACAGAATATCTTACTGTATTATGCCAAAGCATATACAAACTATCTTGGAAAACCGGCCCTTCATGAAAGCATTCAAACAAAAAAATGGTCCACATCTTCATTACACAGAAGATGTCATGTCTTCATTCCATACTTCTAATATTAACCTCTTAACTGCTGCAGGGGTATATATACGCTTTGCTCAGCCAATGCGCTAACTGTCCCGGATATATATATATATACGCCCTTCCAAAATACCACTACTAAAATTATTCACAAAGCTTTGGAATGCAACACTACAACCTTGACAGAGTATGCGAAGGAGGATACTGTTTCAGAAAAGATGGGGGGGGGGAATTGGAAAAGGGGATGTTTCTGAAACAGTGAAAGTAATGACAGCGCAGTTATTGCTCTTGTTTCCGTTTGAGTTTTTTTTTTTTTTTTTTTTTTTTTTTTTTTTTTTTTTTTAATTCTGTGTCTTGTATTTTCATTTACTATTTGTAATAGGGGCTCTTTTGTAGTAGGTGGCGGTAAAAGTAATTGACTGTGCAGTTATTCTTCTCTTGTTTCTGTTTGAGTAAGACCTACTTTCTTTTATTTGAAAAATAACACAGGAAAACATTCCGATGTTACTTTTCAAATAAAGAAAGTTGCACCTGAAACTAAATTTACTCACTGCTCTATTTATCTTAAAGCTGTAGTACCCAAAAAAAACCCTGAAAACCTGAAAATTGTTTTGAATTAAGGTGTGAAAATTGTTAATTTTATTAAAAGCCAAGCTTTAAATTCAAGAATATTTATTATTTTATGCCAAGAGATGGGCAGTGAACATGAAATGCTTTTATTACATTCTGAAGTAAGATGGTTTCATGAGCAAAGTTTAATTTTTTTTTTTTTTTTTTCCTAATTTCCATCAGAAATATAAATTTTCCTCTGTGATTCAAAATTTGAATTGCAAAATTGTTTATTTAGTGAAATATAGTGGGTGCGTTTAGCATATTTATTTTTTGGAAAGTGAATTAAATTTAGGATTACAAGGACAAATTGTTAATTTGTTAACATTTAGAAATAAAATAAATGCAATGATAAAAAGCTCAAGCTATTATAAACGAATTGGATAATAATATTTTAAGCTTTTTACAACTTTTAGAGTTTTCTAACCAAAAATAATTTGAAAATAAAAGAAGAACTAGCATCCAACATTAAAAATCATTGTTTTTCACTGATAAATAATTTTAACATGTATTTTTCCAAGAACTACGAAAACAAAAATTGGACTAGAAATCCATTTTGTTTAAATGTACCTGAAATTTTATCTTGTGAAGAAAATGAACAACTGATAGAAATTTGCTGTGATCAAACGCTAACTGAAGATTCCAAAATTAACACACTTGTTAACTTCTGTGAATTTAAAAAAAAAAAAAAAGAATTTAAAGGCATTTCAAATAAAGGTATTAACTTTTTATTGCCTTTTTACATAGCCCATTTGTATGAACAAGGATTTCTTCCATTTTATATTTGAAAAACAAGTACAGAAAAAAAATAAAGCTGCATCCTGGTTTATGGTTAAAATTAAGTGAAATGACCAGACATAAAGAAACTGATCTCTCTTAAACAGGCATAAATTCCACACTACATTTTAGACTTAAAGTATTATAACTTGAATTTCGATAATTAAAATGGTAAACAATTTTTAATCTAATATTTTTATGTGTGCCTATTTAATACAATAGCGAATAATTGTACAAATGGCAAAATATACTTTTCTTTAATATTTCTATAGAGAAATTTGAAAAAAAATCATTGTAAAATGTTGGGGTGATAATAAAGTTTTTCAGCTTTTATTTAGATGGTACACGTTAGTCAACAGGTTGTGAACCGCTGGTCCAGATTGTTAATAGCAGCAAGTTTTTGATAAAACTATACATTTTCTTCTATGTCGCTGTTAAACAAACAATCACTAGGACACAACCCCCCGCCAAAACAAAAAAAAACTGTCGAACTCACACTGCTCCGTTGTTGCAGATCTAGCTATGTACTCTGAACGTGGTGCGAAAGCTAAAAACCAGCTGGTTTTTTTATTCAAAGCAGGCAAGAATCAAGGTTACCAAGCTCAAATGTGGTAACCATGGGGCTCCTATCTTTATGGTTTGAATCAATGCTAACACCCAAATCTACAAATTGTTTGCCTTTTTAGTGATGCTAATTTGAGGACTTTTTCTATTTGATGCTTTGGACTGGGAAAACACCAAACCTCGGTTAATCAAAACTCAGATAATCGGGGTTCCACTGTACATAAGTATGATATTTAATCACTTCAAGCAGCAATGCATCATAGTATTCAACCCAGTATGGAGTGGTTACAAATGTCAAGATGCTATCCTGAGGATGCAAAATATTCTATAGCTGCTCATCAAGTTCAAACAAATGGCCAGATGGCATTGTAATATACCCCATGTGTGTTTAATCGGAAAAAAGCGAGACCTGGCAAATGAAAGTAGAGTTGTAATACTAATGCAGTCAATGCTTCATGAATTTTGCTGAATCAGACAGGTATTATTGTGCAAAAAGATGGCATCCAGCAGTAGGGATAGGACTGGCAATACTACATGCTGCAGGATGTAGCAGATGCATCAACGGACTGCTGAGAAGAAGTTTACCAGATACCAGTGTTAAGTTTTATGATTTTTGCCACTCAACAATGACATTGGTTAAAGAGCATTTGGCCAATGCTACTCACACCAGTGCCAATTTGCATGTAGCCTTCTCCACACACAGATTCTGTAATCTAAGACATGCAAAAATCATGATTCATCATTAAACATAAGATTCCAAACCACAACATAATAATTTTTGCTGTTTATGCTCTACAGCAGGGGTTCTCATACAGTGGTACGCAAGAGAAAAATAGTTGGTATGCAAAGAAGCATTTTTAACTACAGTACAAAGTCTGTAATTCGGAGTCGTCGGGACTTCGCCGATTCCGGATTAGGGGTTTTTCCGGATTATAGATCATCAATTTAAATCTGGTAATATAACATGCAGAAATTATACAATTAAAAATATGAAACCATAATTTATGAAATAAAGAGCAATTATGATCTAAAGGGTATCAAATTTTACAAGAAAAAATCTTAATATTTATTTGTTTCTTTATTAAACATTTCTTTCAGCACACATGCGTAATGTATGCGCATTCCTTACGCGCATGCGTAAAGTTTGTGGCTTTGAGGTCCAGATTATAGATCATTTCGGATAATGGACGTCCGGATTACAGACTTTGCACTGTATTAATTTCAAAAATTAAAACCCCAACATCCTGATTGAGTTTTTTCTCTGACACTCATAAATTTATGCGATCTGAGCTTTGTTCAAGAGTGGTGGTAGTAGTAGTAGTACTTTGTAGTGGTGGTACTAAAGGTTTTCAGTTTTCGCTTAGATGGTACACGTTAGTCTAAAGGTTGAGAGCTGCTGCTCTACAGTAACGGTCAGCAAACTGCGACTCGTGAGCTGAATGCATCTCTTAAGCTACTTGAGGCGGCTCTGCCACAGATCGATTTCGAATACAGTACAAAGTCCAAGATCCGGACTCGTCAAGACTTCGGCAATTCCGGATTTGGGATTTTTACGGATATTAGATCATCAGTTTAAATCTAGTGAGGTGGCATGAAGAAATTACAAAAATAAAAATATGAAATCGCGATTTACGAAATAATGAAGCATTGTGATAAAATTTTATCAAAATTTACAAAAAAAAACTTAATATTTATTTGTTTCTTTATTAAACATTTCTTTGAATGTAAATTGTTTAAGCTGCTTCATTTCATATACTAATACTTCCTCTTCAATTCTGTAGATATACATAATTTCTTGTTCAGTTACAAGTTCCACTGTTTGAGTCCTGTAGTTGCTGCGTCGAGTATTCTGACTAACTCGTCAATTGAAAGTGTTTTGTTTTCAATAACCTCTCGTCACTTTCTTCACTATCGGAAATGATATTTTCTGGATC